TAGATTTTAGCTCCAGGTTGTGTTGGCTCCCGACGCGTAGCGGAGGGAGACAAAAAACCGTGAGCTAAAATCTAATATTTTTCCCGTGTATATAATACACTATTTTTTCTGTGACAGAAGAAAGGACGAATCGATATTAAGAAGATATTACATTATTCTGAAATCTGAAAATTATCGACGTGAAATTTTAAGTTTTTAACAGTAGGGACACCTGCGTTGTATAGGCATCTTTATCATTCTTTTGAAGTAATCAAATATCTGATGTCACTTCTGTCAGTCTAATTCTGTGATTTGATTTCAAAAAATTGCGAATTTAGTGGTTATTTAGTAATATACGTAACCGCGAAGTCGAATGGAAGATAAAAGAACTTGCAGTTCTTTCTCGGAGACGGTATTATTGACTGATTTTTCGGAACTATAGCACAACAAAAGCCATCAACAGTGTATTTGTGATATATATCCGGGAAAAAAGTACTCACTTTTTTCCCACGGGAAAAAAGTAATTTATGAAAAGTGACATTTTATAACCTGCCAACAGAGATGAAATGCCAAACTTTTTTCCCGTCACAGAAAAAAAAAATTAAAATCGGTTGCGGCGTTGTCAAGTTATGGATAACTTCCTTATTTTTACTACTATTTCGGGGTAATTTGTACGTCATAGTTCTTTCATTTATTTGTATTGTATATTTTTTTATAATAGGAACATTTACAGGCTCTCCAAGTTTGAATTTTTCACAAATTGATCCAAAATGCTACTTTCACAGATTTTTTGCAGACTATCAATTAATTTTTCGAAATACACTTTTATTATTTGTGTGATGACCTATAAAACATCGCCACAATCAAATATATCTTGAATTTATTAAAAATTTTGCTGAATTCCCTCCCGAAACCCGCGTAGTAAAGAAATATTGTTTCTATCATTATGTAGAGTTTGTCTCCTTCAAGTTAAATGGAGATTTGGATTGTAGAAGTTGTACATATTATTTAAATCATATTGAGTAACAAGATTACGGAATATTTCAAATTTGGACAATGCCTCGAATGTCATGTGGCAAGCAATATTCCCACACTCAAATCAAATAAAGGAACCATGCCTTATAATTGGCCCTGAGATAGTGATAAACATAAGGAAATTACACATAAATTGAAAACGCCGTGACCGATTTTGATTTTTTTTCAGCGATGAAAAGGCTGAAGTGAGTGATGTCGAAATAAATCTGTGATGAAAAATACAGGGTGTTTCAATTGAAAAATTCTATATAATGAACGTCGTCTGAATCTTACAATATTCAAAATGTAAATTTTAGCACCCGGTAAAGGATCATCTCGCAAAATTACTGGATTGCTGCACGTGAGACCTTGCAACTACTGTATGCCAAATATATTTTGAAAATTTGAATAAATGAATATACCATAGCCAATTCAACATGACCCTTCAATAGTAGTAAAAATGGGTTAATCAATTATAACTTGGCAACGCAACCAAATTAAATTTTTTTCACAGCGATGTAGAGCTAAACCCTCGGCTAAACCTTAGCGGAATAAATTTCGAATAATTCTATTCTATTTGAAAAAACTCGTCTCCGAGTCGTCCCGCTTTTATAAAACACCCAGAATTGTTGAAAATATTTTCGAAATGGGAACCTTTAATAACGGAAGAAATTTGTTTTCAAAAGTTTTTCTCTAGTGATGATGGATTTCGAGAAAATGGACACATTGTTCTACATATAAGTAATAGGTAAGACATTCAAATAATCCAAGAGGTTTTGTATCCGTTTTGTAGCATCTTTTTTGTTCAGAAAAACAAATATATAAATTCCCTAGAAATACTAGTTTGAAATATACTTTTATAATCGCATTGCCCACCATGCGATTTTCGTTATTACATTGAGGCGGGGCCATCAAGGCTGATAGGTATGTATATACTTGTCTTCATAGGACATGACAGTGTCCGCTCTCTTCTTTGGAAATATTTTCCAAAAAAAAAACTAAAACACCTACCTCCTCTCTCTATCCTTCCTAGGTACGCATCATGTTCTCCGAAAATTATATAGGAATTTCCTTCGTGCGCTCAAAGAGATGAAAAAGATCGCGTACTTGTTCTCAGAAGACGATGTAGATCTGGATTTGGATGAGTTCGAGAATAAGTATCTAATTTCGATTTCGCCCGTATGTCCGAGTACGTCTCTTCACGTCTCTTCATTTTCATGCCGAATTTACACTAACAAGTGAGTATTTTTTTCGATTTCTTGAGAGACATTTCTTCTGTTTGAATATTATTGTTCATTGTAGGCAGCTTAATTGAGATTTTTTTTGATTTCCATAGCAGGCGGTGATTAATTTTCAAAATCTGTAATGTCCGTTTGGAATACTCCAGTGAAGGTATTTCAAGTTCTGCTTTAGGGCTTTAGGTACACTTTTTTCAAGACATTATTTTTTCGGCGGAGTTTAAGTATATCCGCAGGGTACATCTATCGGCGAACGGAGTAACTTTCATATGTGTGTTGGTCGTGACACTTTTAATATATTGGTAGTTGAGGTATTTCGAATTAACGACATATTCGAAATCTAAATAAAAACAACTCACTGCAATGAATGATTGGACAGAAATAAAGAATAGACGCCCCTCTCCACTTTATTTCGCTGTTACGTCATTCTGTGCAGTTTATTCCCGACTATTTCCGACATATTGCCGATTTATTGCCGAATATTTCATATCTATTGCCGTCTATTGCCTAATAATTCCGTCTAATGCCGCCTATTTCTGTATTTCTTCATCAATGCCGACTATTGCCATTTAGTGCCGATTATTTTCGAATAATGCCGATAATGCCTATTATGCCCCAAGTATTGCCATTAATTTCCGAACATTTTGTTAACCTATTGCCTCCCCCTCGACCTTTATAATTGAAAAATAATTTCATCATTTCATAAATAAGCGTAAATAAGTGTCAAGATAATTGTGCACTTATTTTTTAAAAAATTAGGATGAGGAAAATACAGATGTTTCACTTATACAAGACTCTCCGAAGCCCTATATTCGAGTTGAAGGAGCTAGTACTGATCCTGATCTAGTGAGCGCTACCAATATTCAAAGGTAAACGACTTGCGGTTCTTTAGACACTTCCAAAAAATATATCAAAACATCCACCACCTGTTGATATTTTGATCATAATGGACATTTTGTGTTGTTTTTAGTAGTTTTTCCTGTAAGCTGATGAAAAAATACAATTTGCAAGCAACGATGCGATTTCCTGGGAGTTATTCTATACACAGAAAAACAAACAATGAAAGAATACTCCTCCCCTCTAAGCAAGAGACATAACATAACATTTATCCAATTTGTTCTTGAATTGAACTACAATGAAACTTCTTATTGAAGAATATAATTCATTAGTAAATGCCCAGTTTAATGTTTACTGAAATATGTGATTATTCAATTTTCCAAACAAAATGCATCGTGATTGAAATTCACCAAATGAAAAGCTAAAAATTTTAACATTTAAAACATAGTAAAATAGAATTCCAACAAAAACTTACCCAAAAAAGCTTGGATAGCCAAATCTGCAGTAAATGAATCCATTCTGGAAAGCCTCTAAATTAGTAAACGATCATTTTTGGTATTAATCACTCTTATCACAAATTTATATTACATTTTTTTTATCAAATTCCACTCTTTCATAAAGAAGTTTGAACTTTTGAGAAGTTCAGAAGTTCCCGTTTCCACGTTATTGACAATTTTAATTGACAGCCAAGATCAGAGACTCCGGCATGGAACAGAGAATCAGAGAAATCTACGAGTTACGAGCGTCTCGGACCAGGAAAGAGTCATGGTTGTCGGCTTCATTCTGTTCAGACTTGCTGGCAGCCGCCAGCCTGAGATGTTTATAAGTAACTAATAAAAACATTCTAATGAAAACATTCTAATGAAAACATGTGCAATTGAAAAAAACCAATCATGTCCTCTTTTTGGATGTTCAACAGTTATAATTTAATGTTCGACGTAGCAAATAGGCAGGAAAGTTGTTATTTTCTGTTGAATAATGATAAATAATAAAACTACTACTTTTTATTTGTTTATGAATATTTACAGGGAAAATATATGTTCTCCGGAAATCCCAGATGCTATTATTCCATCACCAGCAATACCAGTCAGACAAACTCGAGAAACCCAGTCAGCACATCCTTTCGTTATTGTGAATCTCGAAATATGTCGAACAGCACTTTATCAAATATCAAAAAACTCGTTTGTCTATATAGGACAGCGAAGCTATGGGATTCATTGCCTGGGAAAGTATTTCTAGAGCTTATACTACATATACCTATCTCCTCTCCCTATCCTCTCTAGGTACGCATGATGTTCTTCGAATATTATAGGGATTTTCTTTCGTGCGCTCCAAGCGATAAAAAAATAACCTGTCAGAATGAAGCCAACTACTCCAAGACGTCAATCTTGAATTATTGCGCGTTTGCACGATTTATAGTGAATTTTGATCATTATTTGAGAGCATGAAAGTGAAAAAGAAGTAAGATCTGAATTCCACTATCACCACAGTATACACCCTAGGCTATTACTATTATTGTTTGTTATTAGTTCGAGCGTTGATTGATAGTAGAACACTGGTAGTTCTGTGGAGCTAAGCGAGACGGAAACATCAAATATCATTGTCAAAAAATATTGTAGTTTCTGTTTTGTGTCATTTTCTGTGAGTAAATATGTCACGTTTTGTCACTATAGGCCTATTCGTATGTGTGTGCTCCATCTAGTACGCTCGATTTTTTTATATGACTTTCTCTGCTTACATCATGCTGTGAACAGACTATTTAGACCTTGGTATTCTTTAGCAACTTCAACAAGACAAACGAACAAACCTTATGTCACTTTTGTCAGCGTCAGCTGTTTAAAAAGTGTGAAGTGTGAATTGTGATTTGTCAGATTTGTGATGTTGATGTGAACATTGTTATTTATTTTACACAAAATTGTTAACAAAAAATTTAGATGGCTGTTTGCCGATAGTTCTTGCCAATATTTATTTATTTTTAAAGTAATTTATTCTTCAGCATACCCAAATCTATATAAATGAAAAAACTAATATTGTGAATATTGCTGTGTGAAAATGTATCCTGTGTATTTTAGATAGAATACCTGTTTTTACCATGAATTTTGACTGATGAAATTAATATTTACTATTATTATAGCATGACAAATTAGGTAGCTACCTATGATGGAAGGTTTGAATAGGACAAGCAAAGGAATCTCATAAATGTAAGTTTATTGTAAATATTAATTGATAGTTATTCTGGATTATCTGAATTATTGTTTTTTTTTTCAGGTTATTATAAATCATAAATACAGAAAAGTTGCAATGGAAGAAGCAACTGTGTCTCTGAAAAAAGAACGTCATTTCCCAATACTTGATTTGACTGATCAATCAATTCTCAACACAGTGACACAACCAGTGTTGGTAGTTCAGTCCCCAAAAACACCAACACTTTCAAAAAAGTTGAAAGCAGTGAGCCTAGACTCTGATACTCCTGCTGAAAGCTCGAATTTAGATATCTCCAGAGATGTTTTTTCCATGCCAAACACCCCAAAGAGGCAGATCAAACCCAGGCTCTCATGTGATTTTGATGATGACCATAACAAATTCACACTAGCTCCTAGTTTCAATACAAACCTGAAGAAATTCGCCTCTAACACAAGCATTTCAGGATCACAAACTCTGAAAACTTTACCTGAAATCATGACTTTGCAAGACTTTTCTGATGGTCCCATTGTAGCTCCCTTGAAATTGAAAGCAAAGGGTTTGCTGGAACGTAGGGGGTCTAATGCCAGCTTGACAATTGATTTAGGCTCAAATTCCAGTATAGTGGAGCCTAAAACAACATTCACCAGGCTCAACACAGCAAAGAGTGTTTCAAATTTGACTCTCTCTGCTTTTGATGTCCCAGAAAAGTCCTGTTACTGCATCAAAAAGTGTGAGGCTCAAGCCAAGGCTACGGAGCGCAGAAAGTCCCAAGAAACCTGTGGGAACTGTACCATATATGAGTCTGTCCCTATAAAAATGAGCAGCTGCAAGAAGAAATGCCAGGTTTTGAACAGGTATTATATAAAAATGATAATTACCACAATTCTGAGAACAACTGACCTATTTCAATCTTTCAATCATACCAATTATAGGAAAAATCTTAGAATATATTTTGAACAAGGGGCCAATAAATTACTTTGAAAAAATAGAATACTACACTGCCACCAGTATGGCTTCAGGAAAAAATGTAGCACCACACATGCTATCCCTGAAATTGTTGGGGACATACTAGGAGGTGTAGAGGAGGAATGTATTGTATTGACACTATGCTACCTATCTTAAGCTTCTGGTTGTGTCTCATAAACTTTTGTTAGATAAACTTCAGAAATGATACAGTATCAGGGGTAAGGCATTGAATTTGTTTCAGTGTTACCTATCTGAAAGAGAGCAGGGTGTTTTCTTCAATGATACCCTCACTGATTTCAAGGAAATAGAGCATGGGGTTCCACAGGGCTCTATATTAGACCCTACACTGCACCTTTCCTTTCAAATCTGTCTGCTTTGCAGATGACACATCAATAATAAACACAGCAAACAGTTTGAATGAGTTAATGACCAACATTTCAGAAAGTATGTCAAATGTCAAAACTTGGTTTCAAATGAAAAATTTGAAACTCAACAAGAATAAGAACCAAAGTATAACCTTTAGTTCAAACCCAACTCTAAGCACCTAACTGTAGAGAATGTATTTTCACTGGTTTTGACTAATATTTTAAAATCCTGCAACCATGCATAGCCACTTGAGTTATATGGAATAACCATCTGGGAAAACTCACATGATGCAGATAGAATAGTCAAAGTACTGAAAAAAACATTAAGGATTAGGGCCAGTTTGGGTTCCAAAGAACAATACAAACGAAAATTCACAAAACTAAAAATCATGACACTTCCAACAATTTACATTTATGAAACATTGCTTGAAATCCATAGAAACAAGAACAAATTCAAAACAATTACAGGACTATAACAGGAGGTCATGTGACTTTTTTAGATCCAACAGCATTAAATAAGCTTTAACTTGAAGAAAATAGTCTAGATGTGAAACTTCATAATCATTCATCAGAAAGCTTTAAACAACTACCTTAAATCAAATTGAGGGTCTTGGAATATCTAGTTATGCTGTATATTTCAAATATACTTAACATGTATTATAAATTATTATGAAATTATTCGGAAATTATGAATGGTGATCAGCTGCTTGCCCATCCACATCCCTTTTAATTTCAATACTTTCAAACTGTTTTCATCATTAATTTTCAATTAAAAAAAATCATGTTATGTTTTTATTGTCTTTGCTTCTAATTGATGAAGTATTATACATCAGTATGCATGCACCTCCATCTAGTGATTTAATATCTATCTTAAATCCCTTGTAATATTGACCAGTGGGACACACATGTAAATTAATTGAAATTAACTCTACTCCCTACTCAGGTGTAGAGATCCCTAATGTACTTGACACTGATGTTTGAGTGTTCAGAGTATGGACACTTGACATGCAGTGACAGTGAGACATAACCAAAAACGATTTTGATGTTTTGTCAGACAAGAACAAGAATATGTTTTTCCCTTAGATAAAGGCTTCTTGCATTTTCCTTCCTCTACATGCCCAGGGAAGAGTACATCCATGTAATATCTTCCTTTGTCTGAATTATAAAATTAGTTCTTTTTGAAATATGGAATGATAAAGCTGAAGAACGTCAATGGAGAAAAAAATGCGGAAGTTGAATACTGCAATGCGACCTTTCCACGGCATGTATCAGAAGTTTTAAAGGGCGATCCGTGAAAGCGTTAAAAATCCACAATAGTTTACATGTTCATTTATTATTTATTCTGTAAAATTTATTTGAACATTATTTATATTATATATTTAAAAATTAATAATAATGTAGGTAATTATAACAATACATGATTGTCAAGATGTTTTTCAGTAGATAAGGAAATGTTTCGGATGATCAGTAAATCAATATGCAAATCACGAGATCTACTGATAGTTCAGTAGAACTGGCAACCCTGCATCCGACAAAAAGTGTTTGCGGACGAAAAGTTAGTGTCTGCGGACGAAAAGTACTTGCCTTTCGGAAATAGTCGCTTTTTCGTTCGGAAATTAGAACATAAAATGTGATTTTTTGTAGAGGTCGACGAAAAATTAATTTTTTCAAATGGAATCTGTGATTTCTTGTGGTAACAAAAATATACAGAGTGAGGTTCAGTTATGGCGCGGGCAGGCATTTCTACAGAAGGACATACCGACCTCGTATTTGTGGAAAATGGTGCTTTGAACGCCCACAGATATGTGGAGGATATTTTACAAGAAGCTGTCATCCCATATTCCCATTTTATTGGAGACGGCTTTGTCTTGATGCATGACAACGCCAGACCACACATTGCTCGAATTGTAACCGAGTATTTGAATGAGGTCGGAATTCTAAGGCTTGACTGGCGAGCATGCAGCCCGGATCTCAATCCTATAGAGCATCTATGGGATGAACTACAGAGGCGCATTCGTCTACGTCCGGCATTGCCAGAGACTCTTCAAGAGCTACGATTCGCCCTTCAAGAAGAATATGAGGCAATTCCTCAAGAATGCTTGAGAAATCTGATCAACTCTATGCCACGGCGATTAAATGCTGTAATTCAAGCTCGAGGAGGGCATACTCGGCATTGAATACATCTAGGAGGTCTACTTTTCGTTTGTATTTTGTAATTTAGGTTTTTTGTGTAGGTGTATCTGCGTTCTGATTATTGTAAATGAAACTTGAATAACTCCATACTTTCTTAAAACCTTCGTATCTTTTCTAAAAAATGAGGTATTGACGTGAATCAAAAACTATTGTGATGAGAAAAGAATACTCTTCAATCCAAGACATAATGATGAGGAGTTCAACCACTCACTTCAGCCACAGGGCGTTAAGAAGTTATGGGTAAATGAGTAACTCTTGTTTTTCCCTGTATATTGACCAAGCTATCAGCTTTTTTGGGAATTCATATTCAGGTTAACATTCCGGAACATGAATCGACGATTTGATCAAAATTTCACCAAAATCCGACAAGAACTAAAGAAGTTACAGGGCGAACAACTTGACAAAATTTTTTGGTGGCCGGTTTTTTTTGCCGGTGAGTGTATATTATATTTTGTGAACTGGAAACTAGAGTTACTAAGGAAAAAGATAAATTCAAATGTTATAGAGATTATTGTAATTTCAACATAGATAGTTTTAATAATGATCTAACATCTTTTAACTGGCAACAAATATTTTATACAGATAATATTGATAATAAAGTTGATATTCTAACAAACCAAATCAAAAATTTATTTGACAAGCATGCTCCGTACAAAAGAAAAAGGATCACTAAGCCTAAAGCACCCTGGATAACTGATAGATTTCGAGTAATGAAGTCTGACAGGAATAAGTTACTGAGTAAATTCAAAAGAAAAAGGGATCCTGAGGATTGGAAAGCATACAAGCAATCTAGAAACCTCTGTACAATGACAATGAGAAATGAAAAACGAATATATTTAGATCAGATAAGCAGAAACGAAAACAGTAGGGACTTATGGAGTGCTTTGAAACGTTTGAATGTATATACCAATAAAAATACTGATGCTATTCCAGAACATCTACTTGACCCTGATCAAATAAATGATTATTTTATTGATTCTGTTACGAATTTGCAATGTCAAGTGGATCCTGCTTTAGTTGATAGTTATAATAATGAGAAATTTCTAGGTGCAATCGAAAGCGAATTGCAAGTCGTCTCGGAGAATGATGTAGTGATTGCAATAACTAAGATCAAGTCGAACTCAGCAGGCTCAGATGGAATAACTCTAGATATGTTGAAACTATGTTTACCAAGCATATTGCCGTATTTAACACATATTTTTAATTGTTGTTTGACAGATAGCTATTTCCCACTGAATTGGAGAGTTGCTTGTATAGTTCCATTGCCAAAAGTGAATAGCCCGAAACATATTTCTGATTTGAGGCCAATAAGTAAGCTATCTGTATTGTCCAAGGTTTTGGAAAAATTGATATATTTGCAAATGGTACAGTTTCTATCAAACAATAAGTTATTTCCAGAAAATCAATCTGGTTTTAGGAGTGCTCACAGTACAGTTACTGCATTGACCAAAATGTTGGATGATATCATACGAGCAATAGATGAGGGGAAAATTACAACACTAGTTCTATTAGACTATAGTAAGGCGTTTGACACTTTAGGCAGAGAACTCCTTTTGGCTAAAATTAACTATTATGGCTTTTCTAATAGGGTAGTCAAACTATTACGGAGCTATCTTTCTCATAGGAGCCAATATGTGTTAATTGACAATGTGCAGTCCAGCTCTAGATTAGTTGATAAAGGTGTACCGCAGGGCTCAATACTCGGACCTCTTCTATTTTTAATATATACTATGGACCTCAATAGGAATTCTGTAAATTGTACAATTGATCAGTTTGCTGACGACACCCAAGTTTATAAAAGTTTCCTTGCTGATGAGTTGAATACTGCATGTTTAGATATAAATCAAACTTTGGAGAACATAGTTGCATACTCTAATAAGCATGGGCTGAAGATTAACCCAAAGAAGACCCAAGCTATATGTTTTGGTAATGTATCAGTAGAGGTGAAATCGGATTTGAAAATTGAAATTGCTACTGTTAGAATAGAGCCCTGTGATGTAGTGAAAAGTCTAGGAATTCTTATTGATTGTAAGCTGAGATTCAAGGCACAGGTTAAATCTATTGTTAGTAAGTGTTACTCTTCATTGAAGAATCTATATCGCAGTAGGTCTTTCATCAATGTACCCTTGAGAAAGCAACTATGTGAATCACTAGTATTGAGTCATACTAACTATGCTGATTTAGTATATGGTCCATGCTTGGATGCAGTTTCATCAGCGAGAATTCAAAGGATTCAGAATTCCTGTATCAGATTCATTTACTCACTAAGAACCAGAGACCACATTTCTCATAAACTTAGAGAATTGGGATGGCTCAATATGTTCAATAGGCGTAAATTGCATATTGCCTGCATGGTTCACAAAGTATTAAAAGAAAAAAATCCTATTTACATTCATCATCGATTAACATTCACTTCGGAAATTCATAATCGTTCCACTCGAAATACAGGTCTTCTCGTGATGCCTATGCATAGAACAGCTTTATATGGGAGATGCTTCTCCTATAATGCAGTTAAAATATACAATTCTCTCCCACAAGAGCTCAAGAATAAATCAATGTTTCACTTCAAAAATTCAACAAAATTATTTTTCTTTCGCTAATAGACCGTATTTTAGAATAGATAATAATGTTATACTTATATTTAGTAGATAAGTTAGTTTTATATTCAAGCTACTATGTAGGTTGTTATTTAAATCTAATGTAATATGGTACTCGGTTAAGTAGAACAGCTTTGCTGGACTTCGCCGAGGATATTAAAAATAAAGCTCCTATTATTATTATTATTATTATTATATATGGAGGAAAGGTGTATTTTGGAGCTAAGCAGCGTCCATTTTTCTGAAGAACCAAGGCCCACTAGAATTAAAAAATTCACGTACACCACTGGAATCGGCGTCCTCTGAAATGAATCTGTACCAAGTTTCATGGAAAAATATTCAACATTAGCGCCTTCCCTCCTCTATACCACACCTATTCGACGTGCGATCTTTACAAAATTGGGATCGCTATGAAAAGCCATCATGATCAGTGTTTCAGAGACAAACAAATTGAAATAAAATGGGGTCGATTTTTATAAAATCAAATCAGGATTATTTTTGCAAGAAAACTAACTTCATGTTATTGTTCCTCGTGCTTTGGAACCTTCATATGCAAAAAATCATCTCAATACAAATTAACAGAATTGACTTCATGTTTTATATTTTCAGCATCGGGAAAATAGTGAATTACAATTGAATGCAAATTTTGTAATGTTCAATAGCTCCGGTAGGAGGGAAAATGGACATCAATTTGAACAATCCATTGAATGAATTAGGTACTGAATAATTTCGAAATTCAAATGATTTAGTGAATATTCAATCACTTGCTTCTACATTATGAACTTTTCATTACTATCAATTTGTTGCTATCAGGTACCTAAGTTTTGTGTTTCGTTAGTTGATCAGTGTTGGTATTGTTTTTGTCCTCATCATGGAAAAATCAAAAGAAATATTCCTTCAATTGGAACTTTTTTTTATATGAAAAATCAATAGCCCACTATTAAAATTCAATGTTCTAGTGATTTTGGAGCGTTTGAGTCGTATCCCCAAAACCATACCCCGAAAAAAAAAGAGTGCGCCACTGGCTTCTGCGTTAAATTCTCTATGGGATAAGATTTCAATTTCACATTTTCCCTGAGAAACTTCGTAGATATAGAGGGGGTCCAAAAAGTATGAATTTTCAAAATCTCCCTGTATCTCATGAACGGAAACAGTAATGCAAAATCTGATCAGGCCATCTTGAGTTTCTCAAAAAAGTGGCACAAGACTGCGAGAACCGTAAGGTTCTATCTTCAACAATAACCGAGATATCTGACTTTTTCACTGAAAATGGGATGCACTGTACCTAAACTGGTACAGCGCTCGACTCACTATAGAGATCGCCGTTGGTTGCTGGTTTGAATCCGGCCATCGGAAGATCATATTAATGATGCGCACGGGTTGAGCGTTTTTGTCCTGTCAGCATATTTTGGAACCCCAGAAGTTCTTTAAAACCCACTATATACAGGGTGTCCCGTAATGACCACGTCGAATATAAGGGGTATGTAGATCAAAGGATAACCCACCTGCTATGACAAAAATCCCATTATAAAAGTCTTACCGTTTTCGAGATATCTTTGTTGTTGAAAATATTGAATTTTTGCCCCTTTCAATAGTTTTGTCTGTACGGTTGGTACAATTTTTCACCTTTTTGTTTGATTTTTTCCAGTGACGGCTCGTGCCCTCAGAACCTGGGTCGGCCATGGTAGATGTTGCTCTAGTTCGTCATCTCATTTTTGTTTTTGATGAAATGATAATAATTGGCTTACCAGATCATCATTGTTACATACTCTTACGCTGGCCATAACTATTTATTTTTCCTGCTGAATCTGAAGCTAGAATAAAAAAATTTCAAGTACTCCTCTAACGCGAAAAAATAACCACAATGACTAATCTGTCTACGCTACGCTGTCCCTGTAACAAGCCACCCCACTCCTTCCCAGTCGGCTGGCCGAGCACGCCGTATAGGTATCGTCAAAAGTGTCTTAATTCCCGCGAGCTAGTTGTTTCCCGCGATGGATGCATAAATATTATTCAATACCGCTACATCCGTCTTTGAAAGTAGATAATATTCTGGAAGTTTCATAGATTTATAACATTTTCATCAGAGCTTTTTTACGATGTTTCAATACTTGGCTCTTGGGCTGCTGAATTTTTTTTCGCCATAAAATCTAGGCAGTGGTACAGTACATAACAATATCAAAATATATAACTTATTGTCGCTCAGAAGCACTGAAGGAAAATCAGTACTGAATTCTGATTTTAATGTTTGATGAATGTTGCATTTTCAATTACTGAAAAATTGCAAATTCAATAATCACCAGTCAGTTTTACTGCAAGCATGAACAAAAACATCGAAATTCCTTTTTTTTTCAGTTCGTACATTTAAACAGAAACTTACAATATAGATTGAAATTATAAATTTGATGTATTGGTAAAACGAAAATCCGAGTCAATCCCTATTTTGATAAATATTAGGTCGGATACGGTTCACAGTCCACAGCACACTACACTACGGGTATTACCGTTACGTTGGAAGCTGGCATCGGCCAGCGGAGCTTGGCCGAACCCAGGGTATGACGCGTATACGCGAGAATTTCGACTTCAAGCGGGGGATCCGTATGCGACGCGTCCCTGAGACATGAAACCTCCGATCGGCCGGCCGACTGCAGTTGTAGAGTAATGTAGTAAGCTACGCGAGAAGCTACGCGAGCGTTTCAACTTGAAGCGGCGTTTTGAAGATGGGACTACCAGATATCGTAGGTCCTGAATTAGTTCGTGATTTTCGGTGTATCTATGGCTTACTCAAAGGTTTCAGTGCACGAAATTCAAATAATAGTGGCATAACACTCATAACAGTAGCATACGAATAATGAAAACAGTTTCGAAAAATAATTTTATTGATCAAATAATTCAGCAGTTTTCTCCAAATTATTTGGTACGGCCCGGCCGACCCTGCCGTTCCTGACGAGCCGTCACTGATTTTTTCAGTAAATAATGCTGAAGAATGATTTTAACGTATACATCAAAAACATTCTCCGAACATTTCAAAGAGGGACTGTGAGAAATATTTTTATTGAAAACTGGTAGTGGATTTTTTCAAAACAAAAAAATCTCGAAAACGAAAGACGTTTATAATGGGAATTTTGTCATATGCAGGTGGGTTATCCTGATCTACATTTTCCCTAGGTTTGACTCGGTCTTAACGGGACACCCTGTATAAGCTGCAGAGGTCCCGCACTTCTCAACTACGCACAAGTTCAGACTGGAACTTTGAAGAAGTGACACTAATAATTAAATTTGACAAACCTTCGAAATGTATGTCATGTCACGCTTTTTCAATCAATGCATTTATGCTCATGTCTTGACTGTCAGTGCTTGTCATAGTGTCCGTATTCTAAATATACAAAAACTTTGAAATAGCAGTGTCAAGTACATTAAGGAACTCTACTCAGGTGCAGTTGCTGTGTGAAATCTCGCAGGAAGTCGTTGTCCAATGAGAATTTGTATGTGCCCCCTTGTGGGTTCTGCCAGACTGGAGCACCGAAGGACTGCTACAGCAATTCAAAGCAGTGCAAAGGGTACAGGAAAGCGTGTTATCCTAGACAACCTGACTTGGAGTCTTCTCAACTGCTCTCTGATGACTTCAAGCTGCATTTGCAGAATATCCAGTATTTGCAGACAGCTGGGAATGTTTTGTCTATTGCCGATTTGAAGCAGTCCTGTGAGGTGAGTGCTTGAATAAATAATAATCAGTTATTTTTATAATGCGACATGCTGACATGGAAAACGTTTTGCTATAATGTATTTTTTCTACAAATTTTTTTTTCAGTTAAATATTGGTCAACACACTTTAATTATTTCATTTTCAACTTCTTTTTAGTTCGGAGAACTATCTTTTTAATTTTTTATTCTACTATACAGGGTGGGTCACGGTGGATGACCTATTAGAAGTATCTGGAGAACAAAAAGACAGAACATTCTGAAAATTGGGATGCTTTGATAATTGAACATTCTCTATTCGTCTAAAATGATTTCATCGATACACTGTTGCCACTTCTATCAGAAACAACTAGCAACTTTGTTATTTCAAATAGAACACCTTGTATTATATCGCATTTTTAGATTCTTCCTGGAGAGCTGATTTCATCAATGTAATACACTTGGGGGCTAGCAGGAACGATTACAGAGATATAGGTTGTTCAAAATCGAGATTCTTCAAATTTAGTATTTTTTGTGTCGAAACTATTCATTATCGATCAAAACGGCGTACATGTTCCTATCTTAACTTTTGATTCACTGTCTACTGGAATTTAATTGAAAAAAATACAGGGTGCTTCAAGATTCAGCTTCTTCGATTTTTCTTATTTTTTCATGAAATATTCTGCTACTACTTTCTAATCGACTGATTTATTTAGAATCAGGAAATTCCAGGACCTACTTCAATTTATATCAAAGAGTTCATCCTGTATATGGTTTTTGTAAACTGTGACAGGTCACAAACGAACATCAAAAATAAAATACCCAAAATTTTTCTCACACTTTCACAGATTTTTTTTTAAAACTATACATTTTTAGAAAAAACAAATTCATTCTTTTGAAATCTGATACTTCCCAACGCATAAATTTCACGAATGAAAGTAAGACTTACATTCTCAATATTTTATCTCAATGGAAATCAACATGTTCTTCTATTTCCATGCCTGGATTTCGTCATTTTTTTGTGGCGGGTATAATAATCACCCTGTAGATCTTTTACGAATCAGTGTATGAGGTATCTGTTAATCCTCAATTTTATCGATTCGATTTGTTTTATCAAGTTATTTTGGTCACTTATATTTGTCGTAAAGATCTACAGGGTGATTATTATACCTTCAACAAAAAAATAAAATGACGAAATTCAAGCCTGGAAATCAAAGAACATGTTGATTTGAAATTTATGCGTTGCGAAGTATTTATTTTCAAATAAATGTATTTGTTGCAAAAATTTCGTCGTCTTTTCTTAGAAGGTATCGTTTTCTAAAAAAATTTGTGAAAGTGTGAGAGAAATTTCGGATATTTCATTTCCGATGTTTATGTGTTTATGTGTTTACGATAACGTTTCAAACTTCCCTTCATAACTTTATAGCAAAAAGAGTCAAATTTTACAATACTGGAAAGGCCCATTGCCGATTAGATTTGTTTGATGAACGTTTCAAAAGTCATTAGGGGATGGGGTGACTCTAGGCTTTCGCTGTTTGATATTTCTTGTAGTAACAGTGAATGGGATCTGTAGGTTTCGAGAGTCCCTAAACTCCATCAGGAATTCTGGGAGGTCCCACTCAATCTCCAAGAGAAATGTTACGTGTCCGGCAGTCAGAGCCGGAATAGGTACAGAGGAGTGTTGCCCAATGAACACAGTCGAGTCCATCTAGCTGGATCCCAGCCTTACATCCACGCCAACTATATAAAAGTGAGTAGAACCCTTGATTATTTACACTAACAAGATGATCCACCTCCGTGTAAAATTTTGAAGCCAAATTTGGCGTCAATTCTTGACTGGATCGTTAACGGCACTAGCAAAATATGGCCGAACAAGCCTTACCCACGGCTTCACTCGCGTTGATTTCGTGCAACGTGCAACTTTTCTTATTTGTTTATGGTGGATTGAAATAGTTCTTCAAAATTATTATGGCATACTAATCGTGTTTTTTTTGGGCTATTCATTTATTCAAGCATGCCATCACATTGTGTTGTTGTACAATGCACAATAAATGCAGCATGCAGCCAGAGACGAAGGAATAAGATTTTTCAGGTAAATTGTGATCAAAAAGTAGGTACTGTAGTCCTCTAGTCACTCACATATAGTTTTCATTCAAACATTTTGTCATTTTTTTCTCTTTAAAATGTCTTTTGCTACTTCTGCAATAGAAGATAATAGAGTGAAAATGTTACACACAGAAGCATAGTTCATCAGCATTTCAGACCAGTCCTCCCATTTGAGTGCACGAATCCAAACTTCTTACCTTATTTTAGATACTTCACAACTTTTTCTATTAGCTCCTATTGCAGAAAGAATTCTAAAGAGAAATGACAAAATTTCAAACTATGTGAGTGATTACAGGAGCAATTATTTACCTCCCTGAAAATAAATCTTTTTCCTTCGTCTCTCGCTGCATTTTTGTGCATTGTACAACAGCGCAATGTGATGGCATGCTTGAATAAATAAATATCCCAAGAAGCACCATTCATATTCGCGATAGAAAATAAGCGTACGCCACCTATCGGAGTTCTTGAAAGCTGTCAAAGCGGCCTGTTCACTTTGATTTCATTGGTTCACATTTGCTTTTTGTTTGTGCTTATTGGTCACATCATCAAAACAAATCGCTCAGAAGTGCTCAAGCTGATACCGTCAGGTGGAGCGACGTGTTATTTTCTATGGCGAATGCCAAAATAATTGTGAAAATCTATTTCCATCCTTTGTAAACAAATAAGAAAAGTGAGGTTGTCAGCGTTGTTTTACCTCCAGGGTCGACCATCTGTGAAATATGCACGCGACTGTTGGATTATTTGTTGTGCCCTGTCTCTAGATGGACCAATTCAGGTAGTATTGTATTCGTATATTTTGGTTGCTCAGAAGACTAAAACGTCAATGTCATTCGTGGTCAAGTCACTGAATAGAATGATGGAAATAAGTAGATGGTGTCAATTTTTAAATTGCTGCAGATTTTTGACTTCAGAGTTAAATTAACCCACTGTTACATATGTTCCGCGTACCTAAAATGCCATTTGCCATTTTTTTCCATTCGTCACAAGAGCAATAGCAGCATCACCATCTAGCGGAAAAATGTAGAATCAACGTCTCGCTCGATGTGACGTAGAAAAATCATAGTAGGCGGTCGAGTGATTTTTCTTGAGTTTTTAATACGTAAAAATGGCCGAATACCCGCACCAGCATCTACTTATTTCCATCATTCTGAATAGCAAAGAATCTGAAGGGTATCTCCCATGCAGTAATGAATTTGTGCCCACCTGATGTAAGGTTAGATATTTGTCATTTCCATTTCATCATCTAAATATACTGAGACTTACGACTCCCGAAGAATGTATTCTAATAATTAATAACTACATTCACTTTTATTATCTGCAAGTTGCTGGGAATATATTTCTTTCTGAAGCAGAAAACTCACTTATATCGATTTTCTGAAGGCTTTTAAATACAAATATTTTAATCCGGCCCTGATACGCTATTCCACAAAAAGTAGTTCACCTTGTCGCTCATAGATACCGCGACCGGTGCCAGTTACTGATGAGAATTTTGGGCTGTATTGCTCTCATAAGGATGGTTCACCTTGTTAGTGTAAATAATCAAGGATAAATGCCCCCTCTCCTCTAGCTCAGCTACTTTAAACCGATTTAAAAATTTTAAAAATCTGTTGAAATGGTTTTTCTTTTTTTTTTCGCTATCAGAAAATACAGAGTGATCAGAACAAACTATCTACCTACAGGATACTAGTTGATTTTTTCAAATGGTACACCATGTATTTCATTTCACAATCAGTTAGAGATTTCAAATATGAATCCAACACTACAGGGTATGATGGAGTTATGTCAAACGACTACGAAGATATAGCCGATTTTTCGATATACCGGGTGGTCCATTCAAGACTATCCATTCTGGATAACTCGCAGAAAAATGATTAAAAAAAAATAACGAAACACGTCGATTTTTATCAGAAGGGGGACACCGTTTGACGCAAAAAAGATAATACATACTTAAACCCTCTACTCCCCAGAGCAACCCCCTCGATAATTGGAATAGGGAATAAGGGTCATGTGAAACTTCATTGCGAGGGTCATTCAATTTTGACACTTATCAGCGCAAAGTTTTTTGGATTCCACCAAGCCGTTTTTGAGCTATTCGAGTTCAAATGGTATGTTTCCTAATTGTGAGTAAATTAATGTTTCTCTAGTTATCGCCTGGCTTTAAATCCTTATTCTTCTTTCCAAATCATCCAGATCAGTAGGTCCCAGTTCATAAATAACGAATTTCAAATGATCTCAAGGAAAACATTCATTTTGTGCCATATCTGGTGAGGATGGTCCTCTACGACCTATCTCTTTGTTTGGGATATTTTGGGGTAGCAATTCTCTCATCTGTAATACGGAATGAGGTGGTGCACTATCCTGTTGAAAATAGATATTATTTGCCAAGGTACGTGACTCCGTGAATCCCAAAAGCTTCCAAATAAATGGATAGGTCCTAGAGTACCTATAAAATCTCCAGCACGCTCACCGGACATGGCACCCAATAATTTTTCTCTTTGGAGCCTGCACGCTCGCCAGACTTGGTACCCGATGATTTATTTCTCTGTAGTAATTTGGAATCTTCCATATATGATACGAAAACTACTGACCTGAACGATTTGAAAAGGAGATTGAGGATTGTATGCTACACAATAACAAGATTTTCAAATGTGCAGGAGATATTTGAGAATAGAACTAACCATAATCAGACAAAAAAGATTCACTCATTCAGCCTTAACTGAATTCAATAAACTACCTGACAATATAAAAAATTGAAGAAATATATATAGGTACATTCAAAAATGAAGTAAAAAAACTGATTATTTCTGAGCGAACTGGATAAAATTAATCATGCCAATTTATAGTTGTTGATATATAGTTATAAGTATAAGTTATTTGTTCAATAAATAAATAAATGAAAATGAATAAATAACAGATTGTCTGGGGGTGAATGAAGGCCATTTATCATTTGTGGTGGATACCTATTTGATAATTCATTCCATACATTCATTGATACATTAAACAACATACCATTTGAACTCGAATATCTCGAGAACGCCTTGTTGGAATTCAAAAAACTTTGTACTGCTAGTGTCAAAATCAGATTACCTTTACAATGATGTATAACATGACCCTTATTCCCAATTCAAATCATTGAAGGGGTTGCTCTGCGGAGTAGAGGATTTGAAGTATGTACTATCTTTTTGCACCAAACGGTGTCTTTCTCCAAATAAAAATCGACGTGTTTCGTATTGTTTTTGGCTCAATAGTGGGTTACTCAAATGCCCAATGAGTTGGTCTGTAACGCCAGTGTCAATGTCAATCTTGAACATGTGTATACAATTATACCTATTCTCAGGGGCGTCGATAATGTTTTTTCTTGGGGGGAGGGGGTAATGGCTTTTTGGTTTAGGTAATGAAAAATAAGCATGTTATAGAGAGCCATAAATAATATACAGGGGTTGGGCATATGTTCTGACTAAAGTATTTTTTCCAATGTTGATTTATGTAGCTATCATATTGTAAATATGGCGCAGTAAGTCAAATGGATCACCCTGAATATTATTGCAATTTTAGATTCTCTGGAGATCAGAAATGCAACGGATGAAACAAAATACTTTGAAAAAGGATTATGGTTACGTCTAACTGTCAGTGTCTGAACTCTATATACTACAAAAACGTCAAAAAAAGTCAAATCCATTTAGGTTTTCTGGAACAATTTCATGAGAGAGCTCATCTTGAACAATTCCAAATATGCCTACATTGTCCGCTATAAATTCGACAACTTTTGGAAAAAAATGTTTATCACTTTAGTATTGACATATATCCACCGATGCTCGATTTTGCATTTCTGATAACCTAAAAATCGATGTCAATTGTCCACAAGAGAAAGGCAGCAGTCTAAAACTGGATTTGAAATGCCTAACTGGAAGTAAATTCGAATGACGTCTTGTAAACTGATTTGTTGTCTCATATCTATAATATTAAACCTTTTTAGGGCCCAGATTATACTGAAACGGCTTATATAGCTACCCAAGGACCAATGAGTCACACTTGCCAAGATTTTTGGGAAATGGTGTGGAATACAAACGTAAGTATTTTTAACAGTTGTTGATGAACTGTCTACATCTTTTGAGTTTTATAATGCATTAGAGTCGTTAAAATGAGAAAAAAATTTTAACAGTATTTTCTGTTTATCGTGGAATGAGATGTTGACAGTCAAAGAACACTGGGACAAGGTTTCGACCATAGACATACAAAAAAAGGGGAGACAACATTTCATTCATAAAACACTATTTGTTCACAATCATACATACTTCCGATTTTATAAGTAAGTTATAAAGAGATGGCTTTAAAAAATGGCAACGCTGTAAACTATGCGTCAACGTTCATACTTTTCTTCACCAGTCGCGTAGGTTAAGTGTGGGGCAAAACAGTTTTACTACAATGACAACGCTATTATACCTATTAGAACATGTTTGAGTCTAATCTTGTAATTTTAATAATACATATTCGTAGTACCTCAGGTAGGTACAGTCGTATTTAATAAAAAAGCGTACAAGTATTAAAAAGAGAGGTTAACGTCATCCTAGATCTAGTTGTGTAAAACTGGCTCATCACAAGGTGTCAAAATGCAAGTCAGTGGCGTCGAGCATCAATGAAATAAATAATGAGAAAAAAAATAGTTGATAATTTATTGAATTATTTATATTTAACAGTTTTATAACAATTCAAACAAAAACGAATAACGAGAACAGTGAAAATAAAATTCAATACTTGGTCATATAACCATCAGATTCTATAACTTTAGTGAGTCTATTTGGCATTAAGTTGATCAAATTCGATAGTATATTCAGATCAAGCTCTTCCCAGCACTCGTGGATCACTTCCCATAATTTATTCGAATTTTGGGGCCTGAAGTTTCTCTTGTAGATTTTTTTTTTACCATTATACCCCAAACGTTTTCTATTGGATTAATATCGGAACTGTAAGCGGCCCATGGTAGCACTTCTACGTTATGCGTAGGGAACCAATTCGTTACATCATTGGCGGTGTGGACTGGACAATTATCATGTTGATATATAAAGGTACTGTTTGGATACAATTGCTCAATAGATGGGAGCATTATATTCTCTAAAATGTTCAAATAATTTGCGGCATTGAACTTTCCCTCTATTCGCCAGCAAACACCAGGTCCATGGATACTTATCCAGCCCCATACATTAACGGAAAAACGTCCAGACCTAGAAGCAAGAGAGCTAGTGTATCGTTCTTCAAATTTCGTATAGTGTGGACGATAAACACGAATTGGTCCGTCATAAGTCGACTTGAAAGTTTTTTCGTCTGTAAAAATTACCCTATGCCAATATTGTGGATTGCGGTATATATGATTTAGTGCGAAAATTACCCTTGTCTGACGCTGTTCAGCGTTGAGTGAATTTTTTTTTGCTGCTGGATGATTATTCAGCTCTGTTTTCTTGACCCTTCTGCTCGCAGTAGGTTGAGAGCCAGGAAATCCTGTCACTATCACAGAATCTCTCGCTGTTGCAAATGGGTTATCTCTTAGGTATGCTACAAAAGCAGCATCTTGTTGAGGGTTGGAAATTTTGGGACGACCTGATCCAACTTTTCTTCTCAATGACTCTTCTTGCTCCCATCGTTGTTTGATTTTTAGAATAGTTTTCTTATTCCGATTATACTCCCGTGCTACCGTGCGAATAAACCATCCTTCCTCAGTCTTAGTCACTATCTGAACCTTTTCCATTTCTGTTAAATGGCGAGGCATTTTTATTTCACAGACTAAGCAATTTCTAAAATAACGCCGACGTCTACGCTTTGTATTTTTGACAATCTATGACAACTGTCAACATTCGGTAAGCAATCATTCCCGATAGCACGTTTTACGCAAATAGGATGACGTTAATTTCTCTTTCTAATACTTGTACGCTTTTTTTTAATACGACTGTACTTACCTAATTTTGATCCAACATTCAGTTGAATTTGAACAAAAAACCACTGCGCTCAAGTTGAAATAAACATATAACACTGTCTTCAGATTGGAGATTCATAACAAGGAAACACTGAAAATCAATTGAAACACAAAAAGTCCTAAAATGGCAACGAACACAACACAACAACACTGTAACGTAGGATTTTGACATACGTGAATGACTTTGAGAAAAATGTGCGTAACTCGAAGTAGAAAAGCGAATACAAAGTTTACAAACTTATTTATATAATTCATTTTAATTTTATGTAATGATGTAATTAGGAAAATTTAAATCATTTCATCAGCAGAATTCACATATTTCAATTAAGGAACAAACATACAGATTAAATATTCCTGAAAAATGTTTATTATACAAGGTGATTAAGGTTTTAAGGTACAAACTGAAATGGGTGACAGATCTCATTATTTTGATAAAAAGAGTATGTTTAAATATGTGTCCGATCTCGATCAATAGCCGGTCAAAGTTAAATTATTTTCTTCTATTAATTGAAATATCTCGCTCACTTCTGAAGACATCAATTTGAAATTTGTTGTGGTCAATACTTTGTAGAAGATCATCATATGAAGCATTTCAGAGATTTGGAAATCCAGAGGGTGATACGTTTTTGAGGGAGGAGGCTTCTTTATTCCCACCAAAATTGTTCGTATTACGCCTCTGACATCTTCCAGTAACCAAATAGGGCGGATCGTTCAAGTCAAAGATTTTATCTGCATCTCAATTTTTTTCGAGAAACGTACCGTTTTCGAGATAAATAAGCATATCCGTGCAATAACATGTTAATTTTGCCTATTATGATTCGCTTAATCAGGGCCGTAGTCCAGCCAGGTTAAGATTTCATATGAACTTGTACTGAAGCGTTCGTGATTAATTGACTAAAGCTAATGAAAATCAGGACGTTGAACTACTGAATCCTTTTTTTCTTCTTTCGCTAATTTGGAATCGATATATGACGAAGATGACTGAGTATGTCAAATTAGGATAATGCATCAATTGCATAGTGAAAAAACTTTTACGTTACCTCCAATGAGTCCGAAATTGAAAACGAAGGGCGCCTACATTTTTGTGTAGTAGGTATACCTACCTCTCTTGACTAATTTCGCCGTATCGACATAATCATACTTCGTGTTAAAACCCTCTGAAATAAAGTGAAAGTATTATTTAAAATTATAGGCAATGAAATATCTTAGAAAAAATTGAGTGACAGCACATATCCACAGTTGATAGGCTTAGCGTGACAGGCATCTACACTTTAGCATTCATTATGCTATAAACATCGTGATCATAATTTTATTTGAATTGAATTGAGATATCATTGTTGGAGATTGGAATTTTGGCAGCTGTTCAAAAAACGACAAATCCGAATCGAGTCAATTCATTTTGATATGCGAAAGTTCTTAAACCTCAACTATAGAATAATTAATGTTAATTCCTCTTAGCAAATTCTGTTGTCTACAAATTTGATCCGTTGATATTTTTTTTAACTGTAACCGTTTTCCCGTTATACATCAATCCCCACTGCCTCGATTCTGTACCTACTAGTGTGACGTCACGAAAGCGATGCTCTGGCTCGGTGAGATAGAGTAGGCCCTGGCTCAACGCAATAAAATGTACCAAATTCCAATCTGAATCAGTAGCGAGGATACAGAGGATAGAAGGTCTGATTGCTTTTAACCGACCAATCCAACGACGACGCAAAAAAATCGTGTTAAGCCACTGGTTTAGCCCCATCCAGTTGTATCCATATTCCTTATCCAATATCTATTTCAATATCATTTAAAAAAAATAGCATTCAACTTGTCGTGAAGAATCTTCTAGCGGAATGTGATTATTTCTTTCGTATATTTCATCATTGTTAACTAATTCTTTACCAAGAATAAAGTTTAAGAGGTGAATATAGATGAAATTAACATTTTTAGGAACGGATATTCTTATATTTATCTCGATATAGCGGTTTGATTCTCGGAAAAAAATTAGATGCAAAAAAAGCCTCCAAATTGAGCGATCCACCGCATTTGGTAATTGGAAAATATCAGACGTACGACGAAAAAGTTTGGCGGGATAAAGAGGCCTATACGTCCAAAAACGTATCACCCCGTAGATTTAAATAATCTCGAAAATTATTAAAATGATGAGTTCCTAGAAAGTATTGACCACACCAAATTTCAAATTGATATCTTCAAAAGTGAGCGAGAAATTTCAATCAATAAGAAAAAATAATTAAACTTTGACACCCTGTAGATCCGCTACTGATCGAGATCAGACTCATGTTGATATGAATTATTTCAATTGAAATGATAAGATCTATCACCCATTTCAGTTTGTACCCCAAAACCTCAATCACCCTGTATAATGAATGTATGATAAATGCTTTCCTCGTTTTCAAACAGGAGGTAGATATAGGGCAATCCGCAGAAATTTTCTCATCGTTTTTTGCTGAAAACGATGTTGGATCGAGACAGAATGTAAACAATTTCGTCTCCCCTGTTTTTATATGTCTATGGTTTTGACTAGACTCACTGGATGGTATTAGTTAGGGTCCCTTGATGGAAATTGACGTTTAAGGAAATGAAATGGCTGAATATGTACAACCGTCGAACTCTACATTTTGCATGTTTGGCCCATACAATCTACACTTTCAAAACACCCCCCTATTTACATAACAGACTCACTTTCAGAACAGATGTTCATAATCTGAATATCCGACAAAAAACCCTTCTTCGTGTGCGGAGACATGAAAAAATTATGTTTAAACGCTCGTTCTCTTATGGTTTGGCAGTCTGTATCAACAATCTGCACAGATTAGATCCTTCACTGCTATCATCTTCTACCGAATCATTTAAAGTTAAATATAAAAAGTATCTTTTGTCCACGCAGAAATGATCTTACAAATCAACTAATCTTTGTTGTTACTCACTTTCCTTATCTTTTTCCTTTTTTTCCTTCTCGCTCCCTTCTTTTTACCTCTCCCTCTTGGTTCCTATCTTTTTTTTTCAAAATATCGTTTCTTTACATTTAAATCATCATTTGCTTCTCAAATTTCTTTCTTCAATTTCACTGGCACTGGTGGAAGAACAGGGGTGGATTAGTCCACAACTGAACCAGTTATAGCCATTTATCCACTTAAATTCTGTTATATTACGTACCTTGTACTATTTAAATATTTTGTGGATAATAAATGTATTATTATTATTATTATTATTAAGTCATCTTAACAGGGTACGGACAGATCATAGCTGCATTCTTTTTTAATGATCTAGAGATTTTAGTTTTGTCTACTGGCATCCCTGACATTGCTGTCACGTCACATCCATGGGCGCTATAGAAAATCATTCAAAATTTTAATAATAGGTATGTACAGGGTATTTACTTGTTGAGGAAGATCATAATATGGCGAACGAGTTTTGTAATTATGATCAGATTCTATTCAAAATTGGAAGGTATGTGAGGTTTTCCGGGGTTGGAGATAATGATTGTTTAGTCTAACTTGGAAAATTCAAGATGACGGATCCAATATATATAGCAAAAGAAATTTCTAATTATGATCTGATTCTATTTAAGATTGGTATCGGGTTTTCGGGGTCGAACATCATGATTTTTTGTCAAAATTGGGAAATTCAAGATAGCAGATCCAATATGGCGAACGAAACTTGTAATCATGATCCGGTTCTATTAAAAAAATCAAAAGTGGTATCTGGGGATTTCCGGGGTCGGAGATTATAATTATTTCGTCTAAATTGGGATATTCAAGATGGCGGGGATCGAATATGGTGGACGAGTTTTGTAATGAAGATCCGATTCTATTCAAAATTTGTATCTGGGGGTTTTCGGGGTATGAGATAATGATTATTTCGTCAAAATTGAAGAATTCAAGATGACGGATCCAATATGGCGAAAGACATCAGTTTATATAATTATTACTCTACCACAAATAGAAAATATGTAGGATGCAAGAGTGAAAATAACGTGCCTATAAGTTATACTGCGTATACTTAGCGTGTACCTACTTCTATGTTACTTTCATCAATAAATTATTCGAAAATGACTTTTTATTTAAAAGAGAGGAAAATCATGTGTATTACATGGGGCTGAAGTATATTCTATTCTTTATTTTCCTGCACATTCTACTTATTAATTTTTATCAGCCTACTTTTCGTCCTAGACGAAGTTTTATACATGGTGTGATATTAGTAACTCCATAAAAACTTCTCCGAGTTGGATTTCTGAGAATGTATTTAGCCGTTTAGCACACATGACATGAGTACAGTAGTCTAGATACCTACATCGAGGTTTCCACCATTTCTCAATCATAAGGCTCAGGTCATTCAGCTCGTAGATAACCTATTGCTCAGCTTGAAATCAGAATTCATTTAGTCAATTCAGTCAACCCTGGTATACAGTGTAAGAACAGCCTCTTTCGCTGAGATATATTGAGCTTTTAGTACAATTCATATGATTCCTTCCTCGCAAAGATCATGCTGGAGTAGTAAACTCCAAAACTAGAGGATTGTTCATCTATATCTTGGTATAGTTGAATCAGGAATTCCATATGGAAATTCCGTATGATACGCCAGTGTCCTCAATATAACCTAAAAAACAACAAGTGTCAAAAATCTAGTGTTTATCCCCAGAATTGAATAAGGAAGGGACTATATAACTGTTTCACAAACACTTTAGAGTGAGAGGAAAAGAGGATCTGTCCGTACCCTGTTAAGGTGACTTTAACGTCAATTTCCATCAAGGGACCCTAGTATTAGTTAGAAAAGAGTTCGGACACAGAAATGACAACTGTCAGTGTTTTTGAATGTTCAGATTTATTATGTTACACACCTTGCATTGTGACAAGAGCACCATAGCCGCCCCGCACTCATTCTTAATTGTTTGAATTTGACAATAAATTTTATGAACGTCAGAATTGAAATATAATTTCATGAACTATTGAGAAGAAAGCATACATGAAAATGTCCTGCTTGGTAATTCTGAAGAGAATAAATTTCATTTATTCAGTTTTCCAAAGGAAATATCAACAACTCTCTTATGAAAGTAATGTTTATGAAACTGCCTTGATGGAAATTTAATTTGAAAACGAGGAGAATGTGTGAGGTACATACATTAAAATCCACTTTTTATAACAGCAGATTAGAATGAAATATTTTAGTAGGCCCATTTTCGAACAGAAGATTGTAAGATCCGTTTGAGAGAATCTGCTGTTCCATTAATTTACAAAACAGACTATCGAAAAAAAATCCAATATTATCATACCACGAAATGCAAATTAAAATTAACATGGAGAAAGAGGAATTGATTGCAAAACTACGTAATGAATATATCAGCATGGGTGTTTATATCCAATTCCAATAGGCTCTGCTTTATTTGACAGAAAATCTAACCCCTAAAACCGCATCTGACAATCAGGCGCTACTGGGGAAATTGAATAGGCAAAGAGCAGAATATATGTATTATTCTTTTATTCACTCAGACCATTGTAATATTGAAAATAGAAAAGGACAGAACTTCAGCTGTGTCCGAACTCTTATCTAACCAATACCATTCAGTGACTCATCTAGTTTCGACGTATTTCGAACTTGATTTTTCTTTCCAGTCTAAATGTATAGTGATGTTGACGAATCTCGTAGAAAAAGGTAGAAGCAAGTGTGAACTGTATTTCCCTCTCGGCAAAATGGCAAATTCAAGTGACAAGTCCTTTTTCTACGTGAAAACCACAAAGGTGCGAGACAAGTTCACCTTCGACCGAAGCAATACCCAACAGTACGACGAAGAAACGCACGCTTTCGAGGCACTCGATGACATCTCGTTCGGCAACTACAAAATAACTTTCATCGACAAAGACTGGATAGGTAAAGTAAAGTGGAATTAATCGATTTTCGAGGATCACTGTAAAAGTGATATAAAACACTGACTGCATAGATTACGTAGGCTATAATTCGCTACCTAAGAAGAATACTGTCACAATTCGATAATGAATAATGTTGAGGGGAGCAATTTGAAACTTTCCGATATTTGACATAGCATTGTTCTATGAGTAAATGATGAAGTACGGACTTGAAATTCGTAAATGTTATGTCAAATGGAAGGTATAGCCTCAATTCTTGTTAAGATTTTGGATTTCAGTTGAATTTCACTGAAAAAAAAAAATGATATGATGGTTTTGATCAGAAATTCTCTTCGAAGTTGAAACCAATATTTTGGTACAACATCGTTGATTGGTCCATCATTCAACGAAACTTGAAGATTTACAAAAACAGACAATCTGTTCTGTATAAAAATCAGATTATCCACCACTATATAGGGTGTTTCAGATTTAAATGTACAAACGATACCTGTAGATAGGGGACACTTCGGTGGTTCCAATTCACCATCCATCGATATGTCTACCGTCTTTTATAACTGAGATACAGGACATTATCTTGATTTTGGCAAAATCTTCATCTGGTTATAACTTTTGAACCACTTCGTATAATTCATGCATACTTGGTAGAAATATTCCACTTATATTTCCCATCAGAACCAAATAAAAATCTGGATCAGAATCCAGATCCGTCTTGAGGAAAAAATAGAAAACTTCTTTTATCTCAAAAACAACGCCCGCTATGGCAAAATTCTGTAGGTCTGTTTTGATATTTGGAAAGAGCGAACAAAAAAACATGAAATAAGTGACCTACTTTTTACGAGTGTGCATCTAATTTGACAGATGGTTTATTATCATGTTTTGAAATATTCAGCTCCATTCCGAAGCATTTTTATTGAACTTATAATTCAAAATTCAATTTTAATACAAAAAAATAACAGTCTTCAAAGTTCAACATCATTAGAGCCAAATTAGGTGAACTATCGATAGATATGTTGTGACAGAATCACTTGTCTATGGTATCTTTCATTTTTGAGGGCTCATTTTATTTTCCACTATTAATTCACGAACTGCGGTTAAGTAGGCTGTGCCAAAAAAATCTGATATTCTGACAGGTCATAATCACTAGTGTGATATTATTGGTAATGTTAAGATAATTATTTCTGGTGCTTGTATTGGGTTGTTACATTTCAAAGTGTTCATAATTGTGCCTACAATAACTTTACCAATAATATCGCACCTATAGTGATTATGAACTGTCAGAATTTTCAGCCTACTTTACAGCAGCTTATGAATAAATAGTAAAGTATAAAATGAGTCCTCGAAAATTTTTAAAATCATCGAGAAATTAGTCTATCAAACAAAAAAATTTATCAATAGTTCACCTAATTTGACTCTTATGATGTTGAACTTTCGAGACTGTTATTTTTCTGTATGAAAATTGGGTTTTGAATTATGAGTTCAATAAAAATGCCTCGAAATGGAGCTGAATATTTCAAAACATGATAATAAACCATCTTTCAAATTGGATGCGCACTCGTAAAAAGTAGGTCACTTTATTAATTCTTTCCGCTCATTCCGAATATCAAAACCGATCAATAAATTTTTGCCATACAGAGTGTTGTTTTTGAGATGAAAGAAGATTCCTGTTTTTCCTCAAGACGGACCTGGATTCTGATCCAGATTTTCATTTGGTTTTGATGGGTAATATAAGTGAAATATTTCTACCAAGTATGGATAGATTATACAAAGTGGTTCAGGAGTTATAACCAGATGAAGATTTTGCCAATATCAAGATAACGTCCTGTATCCCAGTTATCAAAGACGGTAGACATATCGATGGGGGGTGATATGGAACCACCGAAGTGTCCTCTATCTACAGGTATCGTATGTACATTTAAGTCTGAAACACCCTATATAGAACCTGCCATTATTTACTCATTTTCAAGGCGTAAATTTATACCAAGAAAGATTTCGTCATTTTCTTCTTCTAGCCAATGAAGACATAGCCACTTCTGTTATAATTAACCCTAACTCCCCGTTCTGATGTGAGATTCGCAGCAATGGCACTGGAATCTAGTAGGTACTTATCAATAACAACTTGTCATTATGCTGTCATGGTCATGGCTACTAGATTTTGATTGGAATTGAAAAGAAGGGTTTTTCTAGTGACAATAGGTCCATTTGCAATTATTTGGCTTGTGGTGAAAAATATTCAATAATAGATGAAATTATTACCACGCGATCGTATATATACCCCTCGGCTAGAACTTCGGGTTATAATCTTGGTTACTAGGGAATAATGATATTCTTCACTACCTTAGTGCATGTATTAATAACTATTATTAATTCCTTATGAATTCTTTACTACTTAATTTGAAACTCAATATGTTGCAGACGAATCTGATAAGAAAAAATATAAATTAAGATGGAATTCGAATTAGGATGAGATTTTCTAAATGATAGAAAATAGGACTGAATGAATCCTATAAGGATTAAAACAACAAGAACACTGGATAATCAATGAGAAGACTGGCATATTTTCATTTTGATACCAATTCACGAAAAATATTCACATGAATTACGATACCATTATGAAAAAAACTGTCGTAAGATGAATTGTGTTCCTCAAAATGTGACTTTTGCAGAGAGAATACCTATTAATTTCTATTTATGCCATTCGATAGCACCGCCCTCCAGTATAAGTCTCATGCATTTGGGTTGTGACCGTTGTTCAGTGAATCTATGCAATTTATTAATGTAAATAACCAAATTCTTCGATTTTTCAAGTTGTGACCGTCTTCTTCTTAGGTAGCAATATCTTCATGAGTGAAGCCTATCTATACAGTGACATTCATAAAGTCCGTATCATTTGGGAAACATATTTGATAATAGTGTTTCATCTGCATGGTTGTCCTATAATAAATTGAGTATAAATTACAGCAAATCAGCATTCATGTATATCTCTAAACGACGCCTCTCAAGTGAACTGAAATTTTATATCAAATTTGATAATGAAATCATCAAATATTTCACAGCCATCAAATTCCTTGAGATATTCCTTGATGAACATTTGTCATGGTCCAAACATATTGAATCGATCAAAAAGAAAATATGTCCAGTAATCGGAGTACTCTACAAGATCAGACACCAAATTAATTTGAAATACTTAAAAAAGTATATATTTGTTCTTGGTTTATTCAAAATTACAATACTTGATTCCAGTTTGGGGTACAGCTATATTATCAATTATAAAGTCAATCAAAATCCTTCAAAACAAAGTTATTAAATGTATATGCAAATTAGATTACTTGGAACCAACAAGATATCTTTTATACACATAGGCAATTGTTAGATATTAACTACATTTACAAATTCAAAATATTAAATTTCATCCATTCCATCAAATATAATTATCATAAATATTCAAATCTTAATTTTGATGTCAATAGTCATAAACACGAACACATAACCAGACAAAAAGATATGTTAACTCTCATCAATATTAAACCAGATGTGGGTAAAAGATCTATTTTATACAATAGAACAATTCTCTATATTGAATTACGTACCAGACTGAAGACAAAATTAAGTGTTGAGAAATTCAAAAAATAACTTAAAAAATACTCATGTCTTTGATTCTCTTATATCATCCTGAATCAATTCGAGAACTTATATTCAACAGTCTCCAGAAGAAACAACATTATATATACTATATATATGATTTAAAGATGATTATCTGATTATCTAATTTTTTTTTAGTGGCTCTTTCATAATTTTCCCTGCTATAAACATATTCGCGGGAATCAATGTTACCAGGTGGCGCTCGGTTTTCATCGTTCCATGTCAAAGCCACGTCAAAACTGGGGGAAAACAAACTCAATCCTCACTCAATCCCATTAGTGCCATTAGCTTGTGTACTGTGTACTGATAAGAGTGATGAGTTTTCAACAACAGTGCCAACACTTTGTCATTGACAAGTTTGACAACTACAGCTACAGCAAGCTGTATGCAATGTAGTCTATGCACTTTATCCATAGACAACAGTTTGTTTTCCCCCAATTTGAAGTTCGTATTATGTAACCTAGATGTCGCCCACTTCGTGAATCTTGCGAATATGTTTCTTGGGAATAACAAAGATTATTATCATTCTCATTAGTTTATCTCGAGATTAACCATTGAGGGATGAAACCATATACCGAATTTGAATACCGAATTTGAATACAATATATTCAATTTTTCTTGAGATAATGCGAACTTCAACGCCCTGTATATCGAGAACTGTACACTTGAAGACCGTATGTCCCTGTCTTAGTGATCATGAAATCACAAGGGCTATCACCTGTCAAGCGTTGTCGGTCGAATTTCGCAACACCCTGTAGATTGCTCTAACTCATGAAAATATACCCCCTACAATTTGTTTTTGGAGAACCAAACTATAATTCTTGTCATCAAATCATCACAGTCATATCGGGTGATCTCTAAAAGGAGTATTTTTCTAGGTGAATGCCAGCTGAGGCGATTGGCACTGAGGAAAACCGACGAAGCCACAGAAAGCAGAACAATCCACCATTATTGGTTCCTCAGCTGGCCCGATCACAAGATGGCCAGCCCCGAACAAGTCCTAGACATAGCCTCGGACGTCCTGAACAAGATGGAGGCGAACAAGATGGAGGCTAGCAAAAAATGTGACAATAACGCCGAATCTCTTTCTATTAGTACAAAAAGGAAAACTGATCTCAACAGACTGCGTACGATCAAAAAGCCTCAGGAACGCAAAAAATCTTGTGAAAACGTCAAACGACCTGTCATTGTTCATTGCAGCGCTGGTATCGGACGTACAGGGTGTTTCTTGGGTATCTTGAACGGTATCCAGCAGTTGAAATGTAGTAAAAACGTCGACGTTCTGGCCATTTTGTGTTCGTTGAGGTTAAACAGGGGCGGAATGGTGCAAACCGCGGAACAGTACGAACTTATACACAGGGTGTTGAGCTTGTATGCCGAAGGTTTGAAGTAGGTGTTTGTAACGGTAGTGGAGTGAATCTGGAGTTTTTTTTTTTCGGGAAGTTTTGCTGGCAACTAGTTTTTCAGGCGAAATACCATATTTGTTGCCCTTACAGCATTTACAGGGTGTTCTGACAAGGTTTGTGAGAAAACCTATTCAAACTATTCAATGCAAGAGAACTTGCCTCTGTGCAAATGCTTTGAAAAAAAACACGTTGGGGAGGTTTATCAAAAATAATTACTATAGACAAAACTTCTGAATTCGAAAGTTATGAGTATACAAACTGAATTGTGGATCCGCATTCACGAACATCATATGAGTTTTTTGAAGAAGAGAACAAATTAAACTTACGTGAACCATATACAGTGTGACTCACTTAAGACTAGAGCACCATTTTGTTTCTGCAGAAAAATATCAAAAGGTCTACGTTCAAACAAATTTGCGAAACACAATTCCAATTTTCAGAGTATACTATGTTTTTGATTTCTTGTTGAAAATTGCGAAATGACAATAGTGCCTTTATCAAGAAAATTCGATTCCACCTCTGGATTAAGCAGCATTCAATCAGGTAAATCGGGAAATTTTGATTGGAAACAAGGTTATAACATTATTTATTTTCGCAATGTACCATTTTTTATGAACATTTCAGACAAATTATGATTGCGGTTTCTGTTAGACATTCGAATCCATATAACAAATCATTCTCGAGGTATAATATCTAAAGGGCTCCTAAAAGGATTCAAGCAAACTTACCTCAGTACAAAGTTGCTCAGTTTGGGCTCTGAAATTACAATTTTCAAATTGATCTTGCTTCATAACTGATACGGCTCACGAGATTTTACTCAAATCTGGTACGTTGGCATAGCTTTATTGGGCAATGAAACGCATATCATGATTATGTTGAATATCATTCCATGGGCTTAGAACCTGATTTCTTTCAGTGAATATTCATCTGAAACTTTCACGCCAACGGAAAGAAAGGGGTTTAAATATGAAATTTGTTTGCGTAACTTGTTCACTACAAAATAAAGGTACTCCTGATTGAATTTGATTTCACTCATGGTTTCGATAAAATCTGAATTTTAGTAATTCAGAGCATCAGTCAACACTAAAACGATTAACAGATACTTCATTAAAATTGTTCATAATGTTCATCATTTTCAGATTCATACGATGAAAACAGTGGATACCAGCAAACTCGTCTCAGTACAAATAGTTGCTCAGTCTGGGAGCTATGGCTTAATCAACACAAAAAAACAAGGTTGAATTGCTGATAGCACATTTCAATTTTATTCGGCATATACATTTTTTTATACGTGAAAATTATGGAAATTTCGTACAATTTTTATGGAATATCTGTTAATTGTTTTAGTGTTAACAGATGCGTTGATAACTGAAATTCAAACTCTTTCCAAAACCATGAGAGTTATCGAATTTTGAGTAAATTTTTGTATTAAACAAGTTATGCAATCCAAATTTTGTATTCAAACCCCTTTCTTTTCATTGGCGTAGAAGTTTCAGATGTTTATTTACTGAAAAAATCAAGTTATATGCCCATAGAATGATATTCATCATAATAATGATATTCGTTTTTTTGTTCAATGATGCTATGCCAACGTACCAGATTTGACTGAAATCTCATGAGCCGCATCAGAGTTATGAAGCAAAAAAAGATATGAAAATTGTAACTTCAGAGCCGTCCAAACCAAGCAACTTTGTACTGAGGTAAGTTTGCTTGTATCAAACTGTTTTTAGGGACACCGTGTAGAATGGCATTTAGAAAAAAGATTCATTGCTTCATTCCATAACACAAAACTCAAAGACCTAGAAGGCCAATATTTGAGTGTTCCCTAACGTGGCTTGATCGGTAAATGTGAACATGCGCAGTAAAGACGCGATCATGCCAGGGGCGGATTCAAAATTATTTGATTATTAGATCTTTGCGACATTCTTGAAAGAGCCAAACATTTATTAAACCACTGGATATTTTTCAGAAATGAGATATTTTCCCAAATTCCCTGTTCAGTTCAGAAAAAAAAGTACTCTTGTGGAATTTCGATTTGGGGCTTCGTTTACGAGTTCGTTGAATTTTAAAAAACCGAGACCTCGCGAAAATTGGATAGTTCAATAATTGTAGAAAAAACAGGACTCAACTTCTCAATAGTGGCATTTTGAACCAAGGCAATCGTCCAAGCAACGTGGCAACTCTTGGTTAGCCTGAAATTCGATTCAATATCAAATTACAGAGATCTGTAACTTCTTGCCGAGCACGGAATGAGCCGCAGGCGAATGCTCTAAATCATACGAGTGGGAAATTAGCATTTTCTCTTAAGTAATGCTCTTCTATCAGACAAAGCTGTCATGGCTTCAAATTTGACATTCCATAGGAGATGAGATTTTGTGAAATAATAACACAATGAAAGTCATTGTGATATCAGATACGGAAATATGATGGCATTCAAAGTACCTCATTGATTTATCGAACACAGTGAAACAAGAGCCATTTCGTGTTATTGCTATAGAAAAAATATAGTATAATAGCACAAAGCTTGTTGATGATATAAATTTAACTGAAGTAAGATATTCCTGGAATGTGTTCTTTATCTTGACAGTCAATAAATGTCGAATCAAATAACTACTGTACTCTTCAATAATCTCAAATTCACTAACGAAAGACGTTAAACGCAAAGTAAAACTATGAATAACTGAAACTAATCCGGCTCTCTCTTGAGTCTAGGTCAGACAAAATGACAGAGGTGCATTTTTACACAGTTGCCAGATGAACTCATAAGAAATTAAAAATTCATAATAATTCAACGATCTCTACTTGTTAACCATTCAATTGATATCAGTGAGTCTATGAGTTTAATCGCGAAAATTTGATACATGATTATTGTGAAGCTGTTGATCATCAATTACAAGAAGTTTTATAAGAAATATAAACTAAATCCTAATGCATTAATATGAGATTTGCGTATGAACATATATAACTGACAATGTTGCCGACAATGTGCGCATGATCACCATTGCCGTAAGCACACAAAACTCAAACACCTTCCATAAAGGTGACATTCTACCCAGCGAGCACAAATACATCTCAGAGATGTTAAAAGTACGAGATTTCGAGACATTGAACCTCCACTGCGATGTTCTGTTCACACATGAATAGAACTATTATAGAACAGCCAAAACTACCTTCTCCCTAGTTCTTTTTAAAGCCTTTTCATGGACACAACAAAACATTTTCAACGCGTCTTGCGCACATTAAACCGCTGTAAAAAAAACATTTTCGAGGTACTTTTCTGAAGCCTTTTGTCAAAATGAACTTTTGCATTACGATTCCATTTCCCTTGAATGAAAAAATGCATTAAAAATAGATTGAACATAAAAATATTTTCTTGATATGAAATTACCTTCTTATTCAGTTTCTGAGTAGTGCTCACTACACACAGACATATAATTGGAAATAGGTTTCCCAATTTTTTAAATGTTCTCCACAATGCATAATTTTGCAACTGCGGAGAAGCTGTGTATTGATAAATTCGTACTTTTATATATTGATTACACTGAGGCACCGAACAACACATCTTGCATCTGATGGTCATTATTACAAACTAAATAAGTCTTCTAACACAATAAACTTTACCAAATTCCTTTCTGTTCGTTAGCAGCGTGATGTAAGCGTCATACGCTGCAAACGCGAATGCCAATTGCGAACAAGAAGAACAAAATCGAAAACAAATCAGATTTCATCGTATTGTGACGTAAGCATGAGACGTTGTGGTGGGACAAACAAAGAAAGGGCACAAAAGAACAAAAACAATACTTTCAATATCCTTCTAAGACCTCTTTGGGAAGTGCATATTACGCCTCAAAAAAACATCCGCATGCCTACATTTCTAAAACATCCCAAAACATCCCAGGAATACCTCTCAGTAGGCAAACAAAGAAATGCCACAGAAAAACAAAAACAATACTTCAATATCCTTCAAAGACCTCTTTGGTCAGTGCATATTACGTCTCAAAATAACATCTTCATGCCAACATTTTCAAAACATCCCAAAACATCCCAGGGATGTTTGTGCTCGCTGGGTAGGTTCTAGATGTTATAACACAAGAATAACACAATTTGTATTTTACGAAAATTTTCCAAATTTTGCTACAATTGAAGGATGCTGAATCCTGTGATGGAGTCGAATTTCTTTGAAAAAATTCTCAGGAGCGCAAGAAATCCTGCGACATTGTCCAACAACCCGTGATTGTTCGCGCTGGTATCAAATGTACAGGATGTTTATTGGGTATCTTGAACGGTATATCCAGCAATTGAATTGCAGTAAAAACGTCGACGTTCTGGCCATTTTGTCTTCGTTGAGATTTAACTGAGGCGGAATGGTGCAAACCGCCGAACAGTATTAACTTATACACAGGGTGTTGAGTTTGTATGCCGTAGGTTTGTAGTAGGAGTTTGTTACGGTAGTGGGAGTGAATCTGAATAGCTTTGATCAATTCAGTTTCGTTCAGAAATGAATTAATGAATCGACAGACTCATCGCGAAAATTCAGTCACTGAAAACCATGTGCTGAAAATGAGGTTGCTCTCTGATGATAATTTATTTTGAAATCCGATTTGGGCGTTGAATTTTGCTTCGAAACAGATGAAAAATGGCCTACTCGGTCGGTGTCACGTGATTCGCTACATGTCAAGTCACGTTTTTTCTAATTAATTGATGAAAATTGACTGATTTTCTCCACTTTCAAAAAAGTTAACTACGAAAAGATGTTTCTATTACAATTTCACACATGAGTCTCCAATGTTAACATTCTATTGCAACTTTCAGTTCTTGATATTTTTTTTTTCTTCCAATTGTAACGTCGTCAAAACTGTCCCAAACTTTGGATAGATACGTGAAGTAGTTTGATGATATTTTGATGGATGACTTTGGCATCATATAAATACTGAAAAAATTATTTCAAGTTAATTTTGCTCCTGAATGATAGATGATAGGTACATCAACTCTGCATCAAACATAACATAAATTTGAAGGGAGAATTATTATTTCCTGAAGAAAATCATATTGTTGTCGATAATTAGTGATTGAAAATTAGTAGCATAGTCATTTTACTTGATTATTCGGGATTTTCTCTCCTCGTTTCTATAAAATAAAAATATTAGTATTATTTCAATACATATATGTACAAGGTGGGCCAAAAGAAGTCATCCGATGTTGTTTGGCTCTCATTTTTTTTTA